CCCCGCTTGGTCTAACTAGTGGTATCATAGCCCGACTCCATCAAAAATATCGAAAGATCTGCGAGGAAACTAAGATCCGATATACCAAGAATGGCTAGTGGGTCATCTATGAATCATGCTTCCAACTCTACTCATATGGAGGGTCTTTCATATATTAGACCACCATGGTTTGTTGGATACAACTATTCCTTTTTGAAAAAATGTATGATTGTTTTCTTTAAAGGGATGGGCTTTGACGTCTGGAATTTGGTTGAGAATGGTGCGGGTGACATTAAAGATGATCTCACCACATGGTCTAACAATGATCTGAAGAAGATGGAGTTAGATGCTAAAGCAAAAAATGTTCTATATTGTGCGATATGTCTAGATGAATTCAATAAGGTGAATAGGTGCAAGACGACACATCAGATCTGGAAAACCTTAGATGTATCGCATGAAGGGACAAGCGAGGCAAAAGAATCCAAGATATATCAATTGGTGCATGAATATCAAATGTTCAAAATGCACCCAGGTGAGTCTATTTCTTATATGTATGTTCGGTTTAACTTAATAGTAAGTAGACTTAGTGTGTTAGGAAAATTTTATGATAATAATGAGTTGGTCAGGAAAATTCTTTAGTTTTACCCAAAGAATGGATGCCTAAGAAAACTGCTATAGAAGAGGCTAAAAGTTTGTCTACTCTTAGTATTGAAAATTTGATAGGATCCCTAATCAGTCATGAAATTACCTTAAAAGCTCAAGGTGACGAGGATAATAACAAGAGAATAAAAGTTTAGCATTTAAGGCTTGCGAGAAAAGAGTCACAAATGATGAAGGATCAAGAGATGATTTCGATCAAGGATTTGCTCTCATTTCAAAAAAAAAAATCAAAAAGTTTTTAAAATTAGAAAGAAAACAAGGAAGGGGCAGTTCCTTCTATTCTCGTGAGAATAATAGAAATGGAAAGGTAAAATCTTTGATAATCAAAAGAAGAAAAATAAAGTGGAAAGTGAGTGTGAAGATCAAGGGTTACCAAAATGTTACAAATGTGGAAAGAGTGGCCATGTAAGGGCTGAATGTCCTAATAAAGGACGAAGTAGAGAAAAAGCCTATGCAGTGGCTTGGAGTGGATCAAAAGATGAAAGTGAAGATAACGAAAGTGAAATACAAGGCTATATGGCATTTTCAAACCATGATGATGGATCCTCTTCGTCAAGATCACATGAAGATGAGGTATTTTCATCGTTTCCAACTTATGATAGTGATTGTGGCTCAAATCTTCTTAGTAGTATAGTTGAAGCGTATGAAGAAATGCAAAATCACTTTGAAAAACTAAAAGGTAGATACTACAAGGTTAAAGAGGATTTGAAACTAAGTAAGAATGAAATTAAGGAATTAAAAGAGGATATTGCAACATTAGGTGATGAAAATCAAGTTCTGAAGAAATCGAAAGGTAAACTCAAGATTAATAAAACTATTGAAGAGCTAAAAGAATTAAGATTTAGAAATAATGAACTGGAAAGAATGATAATAGACTCTAGTACTAAATTTCTCGAAGCAAATACTAAGATAGAACGATTGGAAGACAAGGAAAAGAAGACTAAAGAAAAGGTGCAAAAGTCTCATACTAAATCAATTATGTGTGTTGATTGCAATGCTCATAGGGGAGATAATGACAAATTTAGGTGCATGAATTGTGGAAAGAGTGACCATAGTAAAGAATGCAAGAAAAATGTGAGGTGTAGTAAATTTACTAGAAGAGGACATACTAAACAAGAGTGTCATTCAAGAATTGTATGTTATTGTTGCCATAAACAAGACATATTAGGAGAAATTGCTACTACAATAACTAATATAATTCATATCAATCGTATCCAAGAAAAAGGTACCCAAGCAAGTCTTGGTACCAAAATCAACACTCTAAATATTTTGCAGGTAATTAAGAGAGCAAGAGCAAATGAATGGTATATAGATAGCGGATGCTCTCACCATATGACGGGAGACAAGAGTCTCTTTTCAGAGTTGACTCTTAAAAAGGGAGGTAAAGTAACCTTTGGTAATAATGGTAAAGGTAGAATACTTGGAGTTGGAACGATTAGAGAGCCTCCAAATCCTACCTTCACTCAAGTGTTATTTGTTGATAATCTTAAGCACAACTTGTTATCTATTAGTCAATTATGTGGTACAACTAATAGAGTTGTGTTTCAACCGGAGGCATGTCTTATTGAGAGGATCAAAGACAATAAACTATTATTCCTTGGGGTTAGGAAAAACAAAATCTATTTCATTGATCTTAGTAAAAAGGCTTCATTCAATGAAACTTGTTTTCTCTCTTTAGGTAAGAACAAGCAATTTCAATGGCATCGAAGAATAGAACATGTTTGCATAAAGAGATTGGCTAAATTAACTAAATTGTGTCTAGTAGATGGTCTTCCTCAACTAAAAGAATCAAAGGACTTCTTTTGTGATGCATGTATTATAGGAAAACAAACTCGAGCATCCTTCAATAGTATATCTCACTTCACTTCATCCAGACCTTTAGAGCTTCTACATCTAGATCTGTTTGGGCCTACGAATGTGATGTGCTTTGGTGGAAAGTATTATGCGTTTGTCATATAGTAGATGATTTTTCTAGGTATACCTGGGTAATCTTTTTGACTCATAAAGATGAAGCTCTTGAGAAATTCAAGACCCTTGTCAAAAATATTCAGAATGAGAAATCCCTCAATGTTAAAAGCATTAGAAGTGATCATGGAGGAGAGTTTGATTCAGAAAGCTTTCGAAACTTCTGTGATCAACTAGGAATCTCCCATGAATTTTCAGCTCCTAGGACTCCTCAACAAATTTGTGTAGTGTAGAGAAAAATAGAGCTCTTATAGAACTAGTTAGAACAATGCTCAATGACTATAGGATTCCAAAATATTTTTGGGCTGAAGCAGTAGCTACCGCTTGTTATGTTCTAAATAGAACATTGATTAGGGCTATCACAGAAAAAACCTCTTATGAAATCTGGAAAGATCGACGACCAAATATTAGTTATCTTAGACCATTTGGGTGTAGATGATTTATACTCAATACACTGGATACTCTAGGAAAATTTGACTCTAAGTCAGACGAATGAGTACTTTTGGGATATTCTACTCGTAGTAAAGCCTATAGAGTCTTCAACAAGAGATCCCTGAAAGTCGAGGAATCAATACATGTTGTTTTTATGAAACTGACTATATCTCTGAGCATGAACGAGAGCAGAATGACGATAAGGATGATTTGGGACTAGTTCGAACGACGACAACCTCAGTCACTCAAGAAGCTGAGCTTTCACATGATAAGTTATCCAAATCCCAAGAGCCAAGTGCACCACCTCATATTGCTAAGGCACATTCTCCGCATCAAGTAATTGGGCAACATCAATGATAGGGTCAAAACAAGATCAAGTAAGGACTTGTATCAAGGTCAGACTTCTTACTTTTCACTTCTTGCTACAATCTATTTATCCTTAATTGAGCCTAAAAACATTAAGGAAGCCTTACTTGATGAAAGTTGGCTCATGAAGAGGTCTATGTAGAACAACCCCCTGGTTTTGAAGATCATAGGTTTCCTAACCATGTTTTCAAGCTTAAAAAGGCTCTCTATGGCTTAAAACAAGCTCCTCGAGCGTGGTATGAACGTCTAACTCAATTCCTAGAAAGTGAAGGGTTTGCCAAGGGTTCTATTGATACAACTCTATTTCTCAAAAAACACATAACAATGATCTTATGGTTGTCCAAATTTATGTTGATGACATAGTTTTTGGTACTACTAATGAAGCTATGTGTGTAGAGTTTGCCTCCTCCATGCAACAAAATTTTGAAATGAGTATCATGGGTGAGATTACCTACTTCCTAGGACTTCAAATTCAACAAACTTCAAAAGGAATTTTCATTAGTCAAACAAACTATACTTAGTAAATGTTGACCAAATTTTATGTTAGTAATCTTAATCCTAGTTCGACCCCAATGGCTACCAATATCCAACTAGACAAAGATGAAGGTGGTATTGATGTCGATGAACGTAAATACCATGGGATGATAGGCTCGCTTCTCTATCTCACAGCAAGTAGGACATACATTATGTTTAGTGTTTGTATGTGTGCTCGTTTTCAGTCCAAGCCTAAGGAAAGTCATCTTACTGCCGTTAAGCGCATCTTCCGTTACTTGAAAGGTACACCTACTCTAGGTCTATGGTATCCTAGGGAAACAAATCCTGAGCTTATGGGGTTTAGTGATTCAGACTTTGTCGGTAGTAGAACGGATAGAAAAAGTACCTCTGGAACCTGTTAATTTTATGGTCGATCCTTAATTTCTTGGTTTAGTAAGAAACAACACTCCGTAGCACTTTCCACCGCCGAGGCTGAGTATATTGTCGCAGGAAGTTGTTGTCAACAACTTCTATGGTTAAGGACTCAACTAGCAGATTATGGGATTATGCTTCCTACCGGCCCCATTTTGTGTAATAATACGAGTGCCATTAATATGTCCAAAACCCCGGTTCAACACTCTAGATCTAGTTCAGAATAAAATCGTGTCTATCTCGTTTATACCTACGAGTGATCAACTAGCGGATATTTTCACTGGACCACTTTCTATATATCAATTTCTATTTATTCGAAGTGAGTTAGGAATGATTTTCCAATCCGATCTTGCTAGTTTTGGATCCTGAACTTATCTTCTCTTGATTGTTCGTTTACCTCTTTGTCCTTCCATTTGTGTTGGCCTAGAATCCTATCTAATAAAACAAAATTTGCTAATAAATCAACATAAAAACATAATAACATTAAATAAAAAAAGGGGGGAAAAAGAAAACAAAAACGGCGATCCCCAGCTGCGGGAAAGACCTTGCCTTTTTCAGCGACCGATCTCGAAATTTCCTCTACTAAACCCTTTCCCTTTCTTCTCTGATCGCGATTATCAATCGAATAATCCTCGCCGATTCTCGCATATCGATTCCTAATCGCATCTTCCCGTACTCCAAATCTCTATTTCTCAATCATCGATTCCCAATCGCATTCTTCCCCTTTCTGCCTTGCTTTTCAAATCGTCGATTATGATCTTCTCAAGCTCTCGCGGCGAAAACGTCGGTGTCTCTGCATATATATACACTGCCTCCTCCTCCATTCCACTACTCACCACGAAAATCATCACTACACCTCCCTCACTTCTCGTTTCCTGGCTACTAGCAAAGACATCATGAGCTTCCTCTCTGATGACTCGTTTGTCATGACTCCAGCGCTCTTTTGTCACCAGCAGAAAATCGTTTCGTTTACCGGCGCGCTCTATCCCCATCCTATTGGTGAGAATCGTTATCGCCATCTCTAGATCTTTTCCGCGAAGCCAATTCTGCCGATCTGTACTCTTTATCCACATGCCTTCGCCGTCGTCGACTCCATGGATCCCATCTCACTCATCGACAACCTGGGTTGGCTCCCAATGGGTGACTCACCTCCTCGCAGCTACTGCCCAGCTGACGTTTGTGCCTTCTATTCCAATCCTCATACGGATGGGCTCGCAACGGGCAAATTTACTACTCTAGTATATGGTCATCTGCTTACTCTTTTTGCTGATGATCTTGTTGCATTCCTTATTCTGCCTACTCTAGGAAAGCAACTCATTATCCCTTTGGAGTTCTGGTCCTACAAGTTTGACTTGCGCCAGGAAGCCACAAATCACTCCTTTGATTCGTTGGATGACTCCCTGAAGCTTCTACACTACTACATCACGTGAGTGTACTTTCCTCGCACTCACAGCTTGGATGTCGTTCTGTCTCATGACTGCTGGATTATGTCCAACGCCATCTCCGATATGTCGTTGAGCTACCCTCACCTGCTGTTTGGGGCAATCGTGGATGTTGCTGCCAATGAATCTCCCACGGTGGGTCTTCCTTTTGCTTCTCTTATTACGCTGCTGCTTCAGCGTGTATGTGTTCCTCTAACTGACTTTATCACCGTCTCTGACAATTGTGTTCATCCCACCATCGACGAGGTGCTTGCTGCGGTAGGAATACCCCCCATTGTTGATTTATCATCAAGGGGAGATGAACATGTGGACACGGACACAACTATTAGAGAAAGAGGTGCTGAGCTCGCCAAAGATGAGGCGTCCTCGGATGGTGCTGCATCTGCTTCGGCCTCTGTCCTCCCCTTCAAGCTCAAGCGACAAGCTAAAGGACCTCGTCCCTCTAGCAGAGTTCTCAATCATCTCAAGAATCAAAAACCATCTCAAGAAGTGGTTTTTTATGAGAATCATGATCTTGAGCAGAACAATTAAAAGCCTTAACTTAGGGGGAGCTTGGGTTTAGGGGGAGCAAGTATCAAGTAGTTGCTTGTTGCGGTTTTAAAAGGTTTATTTGAACTGTTACTTTTTAGGTTTTGATTTAGTCAGGGGGAGTATCGAACTATGTCTGTTGTTTGCATTATTGAGTGTTTTGATTGAATAATGCCCTGAGCTATACTCAGGATGAATGAAGTAATTTGTTTTTTTAATCTGTGGCGTAGAAGTGATATAATAGTTTTCGTTCTCTAATCTTGAGCTTTATGATGAATGAAGCATATGCAGTAACATGATGCTAAATCAAGCTTAGGGGGAGAATGTTGAGTCAACAAGCTTGACTTAGCAATTTGAATATCATAAGATATTTTGTTTTTGAATATATACTATTATGTTGAACTAACAATCCATGCAGAGATATCACAATCAATGCTAAGGTAAAAGGAAAGAATTCAAAGTGCTTGCCCTCAATGGAGTTGCCATATCAAGCAAGAGGGTATCAAATCAAGGAGATACTTGCCACTTAAAGGACTACAAATGAAAGGAAATGAAGTCTCACATCCACTATAAATAGGAGAGTCATTTGTAGGTCAGGGTACCTTTTGCAAAGTTCTCTTCTCCCTTGTAATAGCGAAATTGTGTGATCATATTTCGTGGTGTGAATAGCTTGATATCTCGGGGTTGAGATATTCAAGCTAGGTCGGGTTTTAGGGTAGAAGGGGTTTTTTGTAATTGGGGCTAGTGCAAGAGCAAGAGGGGATTCTTGCTTGGGAGTTGCACTAGGTAGAATACTCTTCAATCAAGTCAAACAAAGAGTGTTAGCTTGATTGATTGAGTGGGTAGTTTAGCTTGGATTTACCTAAGAGTTGAATAGGTGTGGAGCTGCACCTATTTGGTTCTTGACACGAGGTATCAAGGTTGTTTCGATTTCATAGGTTAGAGAGTCTTTTATTTTAATAAAAGTTAGAGTCTCTCGTGAGATAGTGGTAACTATCTCCAGGACGTGGATGTAAATCCATATTGGCCGAACCACGTTAAAATTGCGTGTCCCGACTTATATATATATCTATACCTTCTCTAACTTTGTTCTCGTCATCAGTGCCAACAAATTAATCACTTCAAGAGAGATTCTTGGCAAGTCCTTTTGGATTGCTCAATCAAGCTAGTGCTAATCTCTCACTATTGAAATCTGAATTAATTTGTGCATTGACCACGTCAAAATTATTCATTACTGACCCCGCTTGGTCTAACAGTGGGCATAAAATGAAAACGACTTGGGCAAATGAAATTCCACCAAAGATTATCTAACAAAGATGAACAAAATATTTTTCTACCCATTCAATTCACCCCCAAACATAAGCACATTAAAGAAAGTAACAAGAAAACATCTTACCACAAATCACATAAACATATGTTAGGGACGCAATCAAAAAGGGAATCCTGACCATAAAAAAAAGGGAATCCCAAGATAAATCTTTTGAGCAAATCAAAACTAAACCTTTGTGATGCGACCCCGCTCACCCCACATGACGTTCACATGGACCATGGGCCAAGAGACAAATTAAGAGGTTCAAAGATATCTTGGGAGCATTCAAGATGGGTGAAAATGGTTCTGCAAGCAATGCCTACGAGTTTGTTGATGTGAAATCGATTGGCAGAACATATAATTCTCATGGTCCAAAGATGAAGACCCGAATACAACGATACAAGGATCAAATGGGATTATTCTTGATGGATATGGAATTTCATCGATGAAAGCCCATCACATACTATAATTTTCGGACCAGAATCACGAGAAGATGGGCTTGGAGAAAGGAGTGAAGATTCGACCCAAAAGAAAGGAATTCCCTCATGGTGTGAACAGAAGGTGTGAAAGGAATATCAAGTGTGAACACAAGCCATGTGAGGGAGGAATTTTAGGCTAGAATTAAGGGTTGAAAAGTCAAATTTGTTTCCTTTTCTTTGTAGGACTTTATTTACTTGTTTGTTAAGGTTTTTGTTTTCCATTTTTCAAGTAGGAGTTTGTTTTCCTTAGTTGTTTTGTGTTTAGATTCGTGGGTATATAAATAGGATTCCAACCAATGTATTTTTCATTCAAGTTTTCATTCAATTAATTACAAGTGAGTTTTTGTGAGATCAATTGTGAACGGTGTTTGCTTAATCTCTCCTTAGAGGATTCGGTAGAATTGAGTGGTCTCTTATCAACTAGAGAACACGTCTAGTTGTGGCGAGCATCGACTATATCAATTGCCCCTTTCCACGAGTTGGTGTTGTCCGATTGGTTTAATATACCAATTTCCCTTCATCATGAGTTGGGATTGTCCGATTGATTACATTCTATCTTTTATTTTCGTGTTCCAGAAAGGTGACATCAAGAAAATCAAGAAAATGTAATTTTCAAGAAAATCAAGAAAAGATCGTTGGAGCCGCGTACTTTGGTCATATAATTCGAGTTCGAGGGTTCTCTTCGGATTTGGATCATAACAAGTGGTATCTGAAGCCCGATTCAGACCCAGTGACGATTTGAAGAAGAAGCTCTTGAAGATCAAGAATGGAGGAATTCAGAGCTTGGCATGGTGTCCCCTATAAGAGTAACCATCACTATAAATATCGAGATAGCTACGACGAGGAGTATGGAGAACATCTGCAACTTATGGATGACATAGAGATCCCCACTTTTCAAGGTCGAAGTAATCCAGATGCATACTTAGATTGGGAAGAGAATATGGAGATCATATTTGATTGTTATGAGTGTTGCGAGGAAGAGAAGGTTACCTTTGCTGCTATTACATTCAGTCATCAGGCTCTTGATTGGTGGACTCAAGAATGCTCTAGGATTCGACTTTTTAGAGAGGAACGACCAACAAAGATATGGAAGGAGATGAAGCAGCGAATGAGAAGGAGGTATGGCCCTACACAACGTGAGATGCATCGAGCACTTGATCTTCTTCGACAAGGTTCTAATAGCGTGTATGATTATTTTAAGAAGATGAAGCGTCTAATGGCTCGAGGTGAGTTTAATGAAGATGAGGAGGCAACTATATCTCAATTTCTCACTGGTCTTAGTCGTGGGATAAGGCATGTGGTGTAGATTCAGCCTTTTATTGATTTGAATGAGTTGGTACAAATGGCAATTCAAGTGGAGAAGTAGCAAAAGAGAGGTTATACACGGCGTATTGCTTCTTCAACCAATCGAAGTTTGTGTGCCGCTCTTGGAGAACAAAAAGGAAGAGAATGTTCATGTTAAAGAGAGTGAAAAATGAAGCAGAGCTGGTTAGAGGGGAGTTATTTGGCCATTGCTCTACACCTCCAGCATTGCATCTCAAAGAAGAGATGGATATGAATGAAATTGAAAAGAAAGAACAAGAAGATGGCAAAGAGAAAGTTGAAGTAGAAGCTAAAGTCGAGGACGAGAAAGAAGTTGGTTTGAGTACAACAAAGAATCTTCTTACTTCCCTACTAGAAGAGAGTTTCGAAGAAGAAGTGGCCGAACTAGAAGAGGTATTGGAAGAAAAAAAAGAGGTTCTTGTTCATGGACTTACTATAGTCAATTGTGGAGAGATTTCACAAGCGTTGACGCTTTCTCAAGAAGAACAAGAACTTAAAATAGAAGATGAAGAGAAGGTGTTGCTTATCACCAACATGACAATGGACTTCAATCATGATGAGATAAATTTAAAGGAGGGTCCAAAATAGTCACTCATTAAAGAAGCTACAGATCATGTTGAGTTGACCATTGAAGATGGAATTCTACCCAAGGATGTCTATGACAATGAAGATATGGAGACAAAGGAGAATGATCTACAAGTTGAAGAAGGAGAAATTCCAAGAGAGTCACCGTCTATTGGAATAGATTTTGTTATTGGAGATTGATAGACCAATAATTACACATGTTTGCACCTTTAGTTCTTATCCGTTTACGGCTAGTAGTCGTGTATTTTTGGCTCGTTTTACGCTGGGTTGTGCTACTTAGTCATATTTCAGGTCCCACACGTCGAAGGAAAGGCTAAGCACGAGATTCGGGGCATTTGGAGGTCATTCGGTCAATCTGGGGGCAAAACACGGGCAGGAGGCCTGAAGAACACGGTCGTGTACACAAACAGGCATGCCAGTGTTTTTATGTGCGAGAGCTGAACTGATGGAAAAGCAAAACACGGGCTGGCTGATAGACCGTTAATTACACCTGTTTTTACCCCTATTCTTGAGCCGTTTGAGATGTTGATTCTCGTGTTTTAGACCGATTTCACGCTAGGTTGTGCTTGTTTGTGATATTTCGGGTCCTAGTACGTGAATGAAGGTTTGGGAACGAGTTCGGGGTCGATTAGACGAAGATTGGACGTTTGGCGAGAAGCTGGGAAGCCACACGGGCACTATTGCACCTCACACGGCCGTGTAGGGGCCCCTTGTGGCCGTGTGAAGGCTCGGTAAATGCCACATGGGCAGCCTGGGAAGCCACA